TCTGCTTCCGGCCGTTTCCTTTCAACCCGTTCGTTTCCGTTATTTGTCTTCGGCCGCGCTCTCGCCTCATCCTGAGCTGTCAGAGCGGGAGTCCCCCCCCCCCCTGCAGCACAAAAAGCTAGTTGTCATTAGCCATGCGACGTGACGTGGCCACAGTGTGGCCAAAGCGTGACCATGGTCACCACTTGTGTTGAATAGTAGAGCGCCAGGCACCTACAGGATTTGCGGCTGCATGCTGCATCCTAAGTCTGTGAAGGTATTTCCTCGCAAACTTATGCCTTGTGAGGAAAGGAAATATTTTATTGTTGTTCCCCGACATTTCAATGTTGTCTCTGGTGGTAGTCTCGTTACATGCTTCTCTTTGAATATACACGGCAAAACGACGTCTTGGTTTTCATGACGGTTTGGAAAAACCCTCTTATATGGGAGAGATGCGTGGGGGCGTCTTGCTTTTTCAAAACCGACTTGAAAACCAGGACTTCGGTTTTACCGTGTGGTAAGGTCCTACAGAAAAGGCGCCCTTTATTCCCTGTGACGAAGATGACCTCTCGCCTGATCAGGCGACCTACAGTCGCTCAGCTCGGTGCTCGGTCCAGCTCATAGCGCCTGATGGGTAGGCAACATCTCGCCTGCTGTGCATGCGTGTGTTGCGGGCTGGCCTACCCTGAGTCTTGCAGGCGCCGTACACAAGAAACTTGCCGAATGAATCCATATGACGGTCGCAATGTTAGGTTTCAAAAGTCTTTTAGTGTCTGTAATGTTAAAATTTTTAACAGTTTGTTATTTTGTGTCGCAGTGCGCTGACCATGGGCTGACGTGAGCGGCCCCTCAGCGGGATGCAGCGACGGAGCGGGGCGCGGCCCCCGGCCCGGCCCGGGAGGCGGCCCGGGAGGCGGCCCGGGAGGCTCTTGGGGGCGGCCCTGCTGCTGCTTCTGGCGCTGCTGCCGTGCGCCGTCCTGGCCGCCGTCAGGGACGCCCCCAAGGAGCCCAAGGAGCACAAGGAGCCCAAGCAGAGCAAGCACGGCGGCGGAGGACAGCAGCATCGCATCCGGGCGCCCTCCAACGTCACCTGGACGCCCATCACCCAGGGCGAGGGTGAGTACCAGAGAGGATGCCCAACAAAGATAGTACTCCGCTCTAAAACAAAAATCAGGAAAAGAAAACTAACGGAAAAAAAAGATTTAAAAAAACCACCAAAATCAGAAAGGAATGAAAAAGAAAGAAAAACAACATTTTAAAAATCGTTGTACGCTTGCATGTATGGACCCCTCGATGTGCACTGGGAGCCCTTTGTGTGTGCGTGGAGGAGGGCACGGAGGTGGCCACAGGTGGCTGCCGGCGGTAACGGCGGCGCGCGTGAATCTGGAGGAGAAAATGAAAACTCTCCTTATGGGGGGCGGAGGGTCGGCGGGCCGGGGCGCGGCACGCGGGGCCCCCCTGCAGGGGGGCATCGGGGCGTGTGTTCAGCGAGCGTGGAGGCGGCCCCAATCTGCAGTAAAGGGACCCCCGCCCCGCCACGCGCCGCCCCTAAGCCTTTGGCAGGCCGGGCCTACCGCCCTGTGCGGGCTGTGCTCGCTCCCTTTTGAATACGGCCGCCGCCGCGTGTATTCCGATGCACAACAAGTTTGTTCCGTGTTCTTTTTATTATATTTTTTTCAAACGCAGAGTTTATTGCCGCTTAACAATTTTTCGGCGCGCTCGCTGTGTTTCTCTCTCTGGCCTTGTCGTGTTGATTCCTCTTTCCCCTCCCAGCAGCGCTCCTGCTCCGCTCCCTCTCTCTCTCTCTCTCTCTCTCTCTCTTTCTCTCTCTCTCTCTCTCTCTCTTTCTCTCTCTCTCTCTCTCTCTCTGCCGCTCACGTACTGAGGGGAATGTAAGGCGGAACAATCAGCGAGGAGAGAGTTTTTAATTAAGTATCCCTTACTATTGTTGTGCCCTCTCGTCCCAGAGCAATACCAAAAGGCAGGGGAAAGGCAGGGGTTCGGGGAAAGAAGAGAGAGAGGGGGGGAGGCTGAGTGGTGCGCTAAGTAGCCGGCCGATGCTGCTGCCCGTTCCATATATCTTCTCTCTCTCTCTCTCCCCGTCTCCCTCCCCCTTAAACCCACTCACCTCCACCCTGCTCCATCCCGAACTACCCTCTCGCCTGCGGCTCCAGCGCTAGAGGGAAAAAGAGAGCACTGCGAGTGTGTGAGTGTGTGTGTGTGTGTGTTCCAGAGAGAGAGAGAGAGAGAGAGAGAGAGAGAGAGAGAGAGAGAACCCGACACCCCGGTAGTTATCGCGCTGCCGGCCCATCCGTTGTGCGTCCAGCTGCCGCCACGCCCGCCCCGCTACGCCCCCCCCCTCCTCTCACGGCTGGGAGTGACCGTAACCCTCTTCTTATCTCCCTCCCTGACCCCTACCTTTAGGGCCTACCTCGTAGCCTCGTAGCCACACCTTTTGTTTCTTGCCGTTTTATCCTTTTCTCTGCCCCTCTATCTCCTTCGCTCGGCTTTGCATTCGTTTCCCATCTTCATCCTTTTTTTTCGCTCTCTTTTCCGATTCCATTCCTCTCTTTCCGCTGCCGCCGCCGCTCCGGCGGTGCACAGATAAGCCCCACATAGAGGGGGGTAGGCTGATGGCGCGACGTGTGTGGACCATCACTCAACGACCTGCACTCTGCACCAGGGGAGTGCAATAACAATCATAAGTGCACAGCGAGGTGCACACCCGAGGTGCACTCACATATATCGGCGCGTAAAAAAAGATATAAATATTTCTTTTTATTTATCCGCGGCGTCGCGCTCGGCTGGTATAGCACCCTAAGTGCAGTTTTACGGCTCGCGCGGAATCCATTTCCTGCATCCCTTTCGTGTCTGTCTCTCTCTCCCTTTCTCCCGGCGGCATCACCGAGTCTGTCCACCTCGCTGACGCCGGTTGACGCCCCCCCCCCCCTCTCCTCCCCTCCCTCAGTGTGTCGCCGTGTTTAGTGATGCATGGCGCCCCCCGGAGCGCCGCTGACAAATGTCCATACACATCGGGATTGGTGGCCGAGGGGGGAGGGTTGGCCCCCGGCGTTATCTCTACCCCCACTTCCACCCCCCACCCCTTCCTCACCCCGATTGCTCCGTATCTGGGACGGCGGCGGGTCCAGTGACTGCGTGGGAAAGGGGGGAGGGGACGTGGAGAGCTGGCGCCATCTCCACCATAGAGAGGCCTCATCACCATATCACCATATCGAGTCATGAGACGGGAGAGTCAGGAAGGGGGCCGGGGGAGCTACCCTAGACCGCGGCTGCGCCGCGCCGCGGATCCTGAAAAGCCGTCCGCAATGCCATGTATGAGACGCGCTGAGGAGGGCCAGGGAATCCTTTGCTCTCTTCACTCTCTTGCCCTGCGAAAAGTTTGGCATCAGCGGCAGGGCGAGCAGCTGCAGCGGTCCGGTTCAACCTCGGGTCCAGCGAGCGGCGGGAGAGCGACCAGAGAGCGGCGGGGAGAGGAGGTCTATTCCCCCGCTGAGTCCGCTCATCTCTCTGAGAGTGGAGAGCGCCGGGCCGGCGGGGCCGGCAGCTGGACCCACAGCATCTCAGCGGAAGGAGAGAGAGGGAGAGCGAGACAGCTCTCCAGAAGGAGGGGCTTCTTAATTTCGCACGGCCTGCGGATGACGTTGGTCCGGCTCCGGACGGCGGTGCGCGGTACGACTTGGGGTGGGGTGGGCGACGACGGTCCACCAGCAAAAGGCTTAACGCGCCCAAGGGGTCAGGGAAAAGACAATCGTGTAGGTTTTCCGTGTTACCAAATGTGACGTCACATAGGGAGCGCGTCAGCTGAGCGAGGTTTGCAACTGCGCGGGGTCGGTAACTGAGCGAGGTTTGCAGCTGCGCGAGACTAGCAACTGCGCGGGGTCTGCAACTGCGCGTGGTGTGCAACGGCGCGTGGGCTGCAACTGAGCGAGGTACGCAACTGCGCGAGGTCATAGAATACGAGGCACGTTTAGCAGGGTTAGGTTACGTTAGGTAAGGTTACCTTAGGTTAGGTTGGATTACGCGTTGCTTTAGTACTCGCCCAGCAGCATACCTCATTTAGTTGCTGACCTCGCGCAGTTGCAAACCTCGCGCAGTTGCCATCGTCTCATTGGCTATTTGGTGACAGCCAAGAAATTCGCTGTTTAGTTAGTTGTCAGAGACAAGATTTAGTTGCCACAGCGAACTCGAAAATACGGGTTCGCTGTGGCAACCAAATCTTGTCTCTGACAACTAATTCTTAGGTGCCACAGCGAATTTCTCGGCTGTCACCAAATTAGCCAATGTATTCGCTCTGACAACTAATCTTTTTTTCCGTGTACTTAGTGCGCGCGTGTGTGTGTGTGTGTGTTCAGCAAGGCTTTGAGTAAACAAGAAAAAGATGTTTTGATTTTTCAATTTTATTCAAGGGGCGCGCTGATTCAGGTTCATTGTTTTCCGTGCCTTTTAATCTTCCACCTTCTTCCCCGGGCCACACCCCATGCTGCCCTCACTTTATCCCCCACCATGCCCCCCCTCCCCCCCCTCTCTCTCTCTCTTTCTCTCTCTCTCTCTCTCTCTCACTCCCTCTCCCTCTCCCTCTCCCCCCCCCCCCCCCACTCGAGCATGGGCGGAGGGAGGAGCGAAGGGGCATAGGGGAGGCGGCGCTGATTCTTGTTTACGCTCCTAATAAGAGAGACCCTTATTGTGACAGTCCCACACCCTCACCTGAGCGGTGCGCTTGGAGAGAGAGGGAGGGAAAGAGAGAAAGAGAAAGGTAGGGAGGGGGGAGGAACTGGCGGATAATAATGCGGGTAATTGAAAGAAAAGAGTGCCGTTTCTCTGTTCCATCCCCTCTATCACTGAGCAGGCTGGCATTCTTCTATATATACACTTTGTCTCTTTTCTATCTCTTTTATTTACTTTTACTGACCCCCCGTTTTCTCGTTGTGTATATATCTTTCCATCATCGTGTATGTAGTGTGTCCGCCTGCGTTGTTGCCCCTATTCGCTCTGTTTTCTCATTTTCCTTACTACTCGCCCCCTTCCCCCCTTTAACTACTACCGCTGCTGCCGCCTCCCCCTTGTAACAATGTCAAATCCGAGAGCAAACATACTGAGCTGGGGATTCGGGCGGAGCGGTGGTGGGGGAGGGTGACGTCTGATATTAAATATCTCTGCGGCTCGCTGAGGCCACGCTCTTCCTGCACAGCCAACTCTCCCACCCCAACCTTCTCCCGCGCCACCCTAGGCTTTGCTCCTTCTTTTCATTTTTTCTCATTTTCCCGCTTCATGGAAACGCCTCTCTCCGTCTCTTGCCCTCTCTTCCCAGCCTCTCGCTTCCTCTCAGGGCTGCCCGGCTCTACTTCCCGCTCACTCAGCGCTGGCTTCGGCATCATTCAAAAAAAAAAAAAATAAAACCGCTTCTATCGAATTACGAGCCACCGAGGTATCGGCAGCCCCCGAGCTTTCACACGCCGGTCGGCGATCCGCCCGCGAAGGAGACGGCGCGGCGGAGTGGATTGGCAGCGAAAATTTTGTCATTTCCACGCGGCTTTGCTGCTAAGGGGGGAATATTTTGAGCTTGTTAGCCGGTGTGGCTTTGGCAAGTCCGACGGGCGCAGGGCTGGTCCGTCTGTCGACCCTCTCCCCTCCCCTCCCCCTCTTCTCTCTCTCTCCCTCTCGCTCTCTCTCCCTCCCCCTCTCTCTCTCTCTCTCTCTCTCTCTCTCTCTCTCTCTCTCTCTCTCTCTCTTTCTCTAGCCCTCGATCTCTCTCTCCCCGCCTCCCGTATCTGAAACAAAACTCGCAGTCTTAAAGCAGCAGCTCTCTGCCGGGGGCGCTCGCCCGGCGCGGATGAAAAGAGAGAAAAACTTGGGCGTCGGCGATAATACTCTGAACTCGTTACCTGGCCGTCTTGCGGAGTAATTAACTGTTGCACCGCTGCGGGGATCATCACACACCGCGCGCACACCAACCGGAAGGGTACAAAACGGGAAAAATACAAAAGGGGCTAAGGCCCACTGGAATTGCTGGAGTAAT